AGCTTGAGGCCTTTTTCCAAAAAAAAAAAAAAAAAAAAAGAACTAGTCTTGAGGTTGGAAGTACCCATGATGAAAGGAGAAAAATTAAGGTAGAACTACATTCAAATTCTACCACTTAACCCTTTCCCTCCAAAAGGGAACCTGAGAAGGAATATTAGACTAAAAACAGCTGAACATTATTGATCAGGACAGACAGGAACTGAGTTTTACATAGCCAGATGCTGTTTCCAAGAGAAAGTCTCCAACTCTCTGAGCCACAGTCTCAATGAAAAATAAAGGACCATACCAGGGCTGACCCACACAGAACACAGTTAAAATGTAGACTTTTCAAAATTGTAAGACTTCAAATTAGACTTAGACATCATGTTAACTGCTTTCACACTAAGACATAATTATCGTGTATAAGCAAAAGAGGGCTTATGATGGCCCAGACAAACTAGAGCATCTATAACTTTCTACTGCATTTTCAGTCATGAAGACTCAGCTGAGTTTGGGATATTACTCATAATATGTATTCATAACCATAATAGATCCCTCTGGAGTTATTACGATGTATGCAGAGAACGTTTATTAACAATAGAGAACATTTGCATATTATAGACCCATAATACACAGCTAGCACAACAAAATGCCTTATGAGAAGAAATCAGCATGCCCAAGCCTTGGCTGTTTTCCCACAGTTCAGCCCCCAAGAACTAATAAAAGACAAATATATTTTTATGTTGAAATACTAAAAGGTCTTAATTCATGTTATGGGTTAATGACCTAACCCCGTCATTTCAAACCACAATCTATTTTGAAGCTCAGAGTCCATAATCGCTGTCCAATACAAAAAGGCATCTAATAGGTAAATGGGACTTTTTTCTCCGCTCATACACAGTAATAACTGGAAAACTATGTTATATAATATGTAAAAATATAGAAGTATGTGTATTTTTAGTTTACCAGAAAGTCTTCTCATGCCAAGGCTGGGTTGTCAAATGTCAAGTCTGAGCTGAGAACAAATGTTATAGCTAAACTGCTGGCTTTTAAAAATAATGGCTCCAGTGACGTACCTTTAAATATAACTGGGCTATTGAGCACAACTATAATTAACAACCAAAAACTAAAAACAAGGTTATAATACTCAGGACCCCTACAGAAAGGAAAATGAGTTAGGAGAGAGGAAACAGAACAAACAAAACAGCAACAGAGTAAAATCCCTCAAATTAAAATCTTCCTAAGGAAGAGTCACTCCTTCATCTTTGGGTTCATAATTCTTCCTAGTGGCTTTTGTCAAAGGAGATAGTCATTTGAAAGTAAGCTGACTTGATCTTCCCACCAGAAAAAATAAAAGCTCACTGGTTGTAGGTAAGTAAGTACAAATCCTGCCATTGCATAATCAAGTGTGTGGGTGGGAGTGTTCACAACGAACAGTTCGAAAGGCAGTTCTGTGAAGCATCCAAACCCCAACATCACATGGAATTTCATACACACACACACACACACACACACAGCTTTTTAGCCATGGCAACCAGGCAGGCTTTTTCAACTTAAAGAGAAAGTACAGTATTTCCATTGGATTATTCAGTGACCTGAATAAACAGAGACAAGCAGGCAATCCTTACTACTTGCTATTTCCCATTAAGGTATTTAGAATTTGGCTTTCAATACTAAATGAATCCAATTTACACCATTGACCTGAATACCAATGGTGCCCCCTTATCATCCTTCTATACTGCTTATACTTCCTTGAAATGCTACTGGCACAGGTACTATATGAAAACTTAAAGGAAAGAAAACAGAACAAAGGTCACTTCATATAAAAACCGTAGGGAGACACAAAAGATCAAAGTCAAATTTCCTATACTTCTTTACCCAAAATGAGTTCAACATTTGAGGTATAATATCAAGTTTTTTTGTTTTTGGGGTTTTTTTTTTGCAGTTTTTGGCCAGGGCTGGGTTTGAACCCGCCAACTCCAGTATATGGGGCTGGTGCCCTACTCCTTTGAGCCACAGGCGCTGCCCTAATATCAAGTATTAACATAGATTGTTTTTAAGCTAATATATTCTACCAAACACATTCGGCCTACAATAGAACAAATTCTGGTAACACAAGATTTTTAGGCAAATTTCACAATTTATTTTCTGTTATCTTTTTCTTAGGTTCCAGCCATAAGATTTATAAAGGAGAAACTTTATTTTTATTTTTAGGGAGAGAAGTCTTAGATATGCAACAAACTCCCGATTGTAAAACATTCAAAGCCTGTCATTTCCAATTAGGAGTGGTAGATACACAACAGCAAAGAAATCTCAAGTTCATTTTCTCATTCATTTATTAAATATTTACTAAGCAATTACCATGCCAAGCATTATGCTACACATACAGTAGTAAACAAAATAGACATGATCCCTGCCCTGATTACATGTTTTGGTTGTTAATCTCTATTCTCATTAATCTTAGGCAAATTGTTTTATTTTTCTGGCCTCAAATCCCTCATCTATCCAATAGTAACTTGAGATAACATTCCTATTTTACATTTATTTAAATACTTTATAGTCAAAAAGGTGGAATTTTCATAAAACAGCTCATCTGACTCTCAAAAGTACCCTGAGAGTTTGGCAGAACAGACATCACCTACTGATCTTTTCAGACCTAATGGGCAGCACCTGTGGCTCAAGGAGTAGGGCACCAGGACCATATACGGGGGTGGCAGGTTCAAGCCCAATCCCGGCCAAAACTGAGAAAAAACAAAAAAAATCAGACCTAATACTGCATGAGAACAAGCTAGAATTATGTAGCAGAAAAAGGCACTTAACTATATTTTCTATTTTGTTTTCTGTGGTTTTTTTGTTTTTGTTTTTTGAGACGGAGTCTCAAGCTGTCACCCTGGGTAGAGTATCATGGAGTCTTCATAGCTCACAGCAACCTCCAATTCTTGGGCTCGAGTGATCTTCTTGCTTCAGTTTTTTGTATTTTTTAGTAGAGACAGGGTCTTGCTCTTGCTCAGGGTGGTCTCGAACCCATGAGCTCAAGCAAACCACCTGCTCCAGCCTCCCAGAGTACTAGGATTACAGGCGTGAGCTACCGTGCCCAGCCTTGACTATCTTCTATAACAGCGGTTCTCAACCTGTGGGTCATGATCCACAGGAACTGTATTAAAGGACCACAGCAGTAGGAAGGCTGAGAACCACTGGTCTAAAAAATTTTCTTGGGAACTTCAGGACTTCTGAAGGACAGTATTACAGACAAATTAAACTGAAAGATCAACAATTATGCTTTTATCTTTTTGAGACCCTGTCGCCCAGGCTAGAGTGAAGGGTGCAGAGGCATAATCTTAGCTCACACCAGCTCAGTGCCTGTAGCTCAGTGGCTAGGGTGCCAGACACATACACCAAGGCTGGTGGGTTCAAATTCGGCCCAGGGCTCCCAAACAACAATGACAACAACAACAAAAATAGCCAGGCATTGTGGCAGACACCTGTAGTCCCAGCTACTTAGGAGGCTGAGACAAGAATCACTTAAGCCCAAGACGCTACAGCACTCTACTGAGGGCGACATAGTGAGACTCTGTCTCAAAAAAAAAAAAAAATCTTTGCTCACACCAACCTCAAACTCCTGGGCTCAAATACTCCCTCTTGCCTCAGCCTTCCAAGTATCTGGGACTATAAGCACATACCACCACACCTGGCTAACTTCTCTATTTTATTCTTTTGTAGAGACAGGGTCTTGCTCTTGCTCCTCAGGCTGGTCTCAAACTCCTGGCCTTAAGCAATCCTCCTGTCTTAGCCTCCCAAAGTGCTAGGATTACAGGCGCGAGCCACGGTGCCCAACATGAAAGATCAACAATTATATTCTATGTTCAACACAGTTATGCTCACCCTGAAAAGTCAATTAAGAAAACAAAAGAGATGGCAAGCTCACCATCAGAGGAGGGTGGTGTGGTCCCAAGTGGTGTGGCTGGGGTTGTTGGAGCAGGGCTGACAGGGGTTGTCACCAAGCCAATTTCTGGATGACTCTGAAAGAGGACACAGATGGGTAAGAAAACAGAAAATCCAGTTCTTACTGAGTATCCTCTGCTTAATATCTTTCCTAGCCTCATAATTTTTTAAGAGATGGGGTCTCACTATGTTGCCCGGGCTGGTCTCAAATTCATGGCCTCAGGTGATCCTCTTGTCTCAGGCTCTCAGGACTACAGGTATATGTCACCATACCCTTGGCATCATAATTAGACAGAAGGCTCACTGAGGTAAGATTGCTTTTGCATTTATTTCCCATGAGTACCTGATTACTGTAGATGCTTGCTACACTCTAAGCAGCAGCTCTGTGGTCAGTTTTCTTTAAGCAACTAGGTTCCCATTATATAAGTTTCTCTGCAGAACCATACAAATAAAAAACTGGGGTGTCGGGGGGAAGGTAAACAAATATACAGGACTATTCTTCCAGAAAGAGGTAAGCATTTACAGACCTATCCACACCTGGGAAGGGAAAATTCTCATTATATCACCTAAAACACCTATTCTGATAACCACATAATTGACTAATAGATATAAGTGAGCCAAGGGGGTACCAAGTACTATCAAAAGAGGTATTCAGATAGCAGCCTTCCTATTATACCACAACAAACAAGAGTATGTGGGGTAGGCATGCAGAGATACAGGAAGACACCCGGTAGGGACCAATATAACCCTTCTGTCCCTCTCTTTTCTTTCCTTTTTTTTTTTGAGACAGATTCTCACTCCGTAGCCCCGGGTAGAGTGCCGTGACATCATAGCTCACAGCAACCTCAAACTCTTGGGCTCAAGTGATCCCCTTGCCTCAGCCTCCCAAGTAGCTGGGACTATAGGTGCCCACCCACAATGCTCAGCTAATTTTTTTCTATTTTACTAGAGAGGGTTCTCACTGTGGCTGAGGCTGGTCTCCACCTGGCTCGGCCTCCCAGAGTGATAGGATTACAGGTGTGAGCCACTGCCAGCCTGTCCCTCACTTTTCTTTGCCATCCCTCCAACATCAGCTCTTGAGAATTAAGCTGAGCAGCAGCCATTTTTATTCTCTTCTCTTCCCCAACAGCTTTACCAGCCCCTTACCTTCCTCACCTTTCTTTAAAAGCACTTATAGAATTTGGAGAGCAGACAAGAACAGAGTGAAAATAGTGAATAAAGTTTCTAGGTTACCAGTCATGAAAAGTGACAAGTAGCCTCCGAAGCAGACCCCCAAACCATCATGCTGCTTTTTAAGCATAACCTTATTTTTTTGTTAAAACTCAAATCAGTAGCCTCAGCACCTATGGCTCAAGTGGCTAAGGCACCAGCCACATACACCT